AAGACTCGATCGACAAACAGCGTCGCTGTACCCACTCCGTTAATGGTGCCCAACAACGCCGCATGATGATCCATCTTGCTCAAAGTCTCACAAAGCCCAACACTATTCACCTGACGCAATATTTGGACCGGAAATGAATTAAATTTCGTGGCGCACTTCCGTAATACGTAGTGGTAGATCTCTCGTCACCACGTTGTTAAATCCCAAAACGAAGATAACAACGATCCGTGGGATCCATGAAGATAGTTCAGCAACTCTTAGCACTAAGTACTCTGCCAGTGCCCTCGATGATACTTTCATCCGACAGATGACGAGCGTAGCTCCTCGTCCTTACAATTTCGTTGGTGTCTCATCGTCTTGCAAATATTTGAACATGTCTTTGAGGAATAAAAATCATCAGCACATATATTGAGCGGTTGCTGAAGGTATTGAGGGAAGAGTTTCAATCCCTCGGACTGCCTCGTATTCTTTTTCGTCACAGCTTTACTGCTCTGCACAATGGACCCGTCATACGGTCGTACCTTCTCGGCGAAACCGTCATATCGTGACACAAAATGAGTTATAATCTTGATTTTCACGGCCCGACACTTCTACCCATGGAGTACAGTCGAGCTGCGGTCCATTGGTCCAACACAGGAGATTGCGACACCCGGTCACTTCCACTCTACAACGGCCCTGACATAAGAACAACAGCTCGCTCCTAGTTTATATAGTCTCGCCAGAGATGCATTCTAACACCAGCTTACAGCTGCTCTGTTCTAAATCATCAAAGACACACTATTACAAACGCTCGCAGCTGTGGTGAACCTGAGACACACTATGATACCACAATTCTTTTCTATCTCAACAGAGACACATTTTAGATCCGCGATATACAATTGCACTTTTTTTTCACCCTGAGACCTTGGCTCATTTTACTTGATCATTCCGAGCCGAGAGGCTAGAGACACTTATCAATATTATTGTTTGTCAAGTTGGACAATTTAATGTCCTGGACGGAAGCAATCACAACATCGGTCGTGCCAGAAGCGCTTATGCTTCCTCAAAATTATGAATACCTGACTCGCCAAGGTTTTATCAGTACAGCAATGCGTGATGCCCGAAAATTTCAACTTCCAGTCTATTTATGGCTCATGGCCCCCAGCCACGTTATACCAAGGAAAAGATTAAATTTCGAGTCCAATTTGTGAACAAAACAAGATTTAACGCTATGAAAGTAACCAAAAATAAATCTGACGGATTAAAAAAGCCTTTGGCTTCTTTACCAGTCTTCCGTCGCAAGACGTACGGATATCATATCCATACTTTGTATCTTCGATGCCCCCGCGTACTGCCTACTATTTTTGACGCTCGAAATTGTCGGACTTTTTATTAGCAAGGTTAACTTTTTGAGGTCTCACAAAACCCAAGATATTGATACCAGCCACTAAAAAAATGGACAGTGAGTCCACTTCTTCTAGAAAGAGTCGCTTTGTTCAGATTGGGTCGCGTTGACCATAAAATTTTCCACCAGGTGTGATATAGCCTAACTTTTATCAGTAGGCGTCCTGCGTATGCTGGGACTCGATCTTTTCCCATGAGGGTTTAGTCTGAGGAAATTGCAAAGTACTTCGGCCCTTCGTATCTCATAGCTGTGATGGGGGGGGTACACATGATGCTGATATTCGGTACGACCGCAGACAACACAATTTCGAGTGCTTAGCGGCTAAAAAATCTTTTCTTTTCCGCCTCAGTATGGCTGAGGTCCAACACCAATGGCGCACGAGTCTTAGATCTTCCCTTTTCCAGCAGCCTAGCTTGCCTTCGTGACATAGAAGTTTCACTTTGCATTGAATACGACACCAACCGCATCCTTGAAAGAGGCGGAAGGTCTCGGTGCGAGCTGCATCTATTGAAAGACCCTTTATGAGGATTGTAATATTTACAGCTTCCGTTGGAGGATCTGATGACAGTGCAGAGGTAAGATTTTACTACTCTTGGGCAGTGTTCAGCGGCTGCCGCCTTCCATGACGGATGGACGTGAGCTTAGGATGGTCTGATGCGCCTGGTGAGGTGGCGTGATGTCTCCCGACATCTGTCACTTCATATCGTGCCACATTTGGATGATGTGGAGCAATATTGTGAAAGAGCTTCTCCCGAGACATTTCACATCAGGGCTCAAATTCGCGCGCGACCTGATGACCTGGAGACCACAAGCGCGATGCGCGGCTGCTCCGCTTGCAGCAAGGCCAAGTTCATGACCATCACTCCTACTCCCATCCAAAAGATATTTTTTCACATTCATTTCATAGAAGAAGTAGACGCATAATCAGCGGCCTTACGGTGCGAGACATTTGTTCTTTCACCGACGCTCGGTATACGCTCGGTATTCTACTAGACGTGCTTCATCGGAGCACTCTCAAAATTGGGAAGCGCCTCCAAAGCGTATGAGTACCGCTTTCAACCATTTGGCTGTCAGCTTTCTGATACTGTCAATACCCGAGATAGATCAAAGCACATGAGGCATTTTTTCGTCCCCGGGAGAGGTGCTCGATCATCCTATTTGAGAATATGGTTCTGATACGAATTGGTGGTGGGATTGGCTACAAGAGCTCTCTTGTGCAACAAGCTTACCGTGAAATTGAGCTCGTAAGAGCGAAATCGAGAGCCTGATTAGAAGACTGTTAGTTTTTTCTGCAATTTCATTAGGATAATTTCTATAAAAACAACAGCCACATATATATGATTCAACAATCGGCAAGCAGTACATGTTCCATGGATTTTTTCTGCGTAAATTCCGTTTTAATTGTACTGTAATGAATTGTACTAAACGTGTAAGACAAGATTTCGGTACATACCCCATTACAGCAACACTGAAAAATCTAGTTAATCCAAGATATTCTCGGTATCGCGGACGAAGCCATTCTCCTTTCTCGTCGTGGGCTTTTCGATTCGATGCTCTCTCCGTGCAAAGCGCACGACAATGGTGTTTGGTTTTTTACTATAGAAAGTAAAAGCTGCAATGTAATTTAAATTTGATATATTTCAAGATCAAATCAGTAAAAGTATAAAATAGCTGGCTCTCGATATCACTTCCACATGAGCTTACGAAAGTTCCTGTGCACATGTAAATGCGGACTCATAGCGTCAGACATTCCTTAGTGGGAAATGCACCGCTATCTCGCAACGAGAAACCTGCTAACTATATTCCTTAAAACAAAACTTTTATATAAAATTTACTCTTCTGAAATAATGTTTTTCATTGGCAAAAAATCACTTACTCTCAGGTACATAAACTTAACAAACACATAGTAAAAGCACCGCTGATTGGCAGCGAGTGGCTGGCTGGCTGAGGTGTATCAGCTTGATGGATGCACGGAGTGCTGAGTTCACTAAATACACACTCAAGCTCGTTAATCATGTGTGATGTCTCCCCGGTGACCAATCGTAAACAGATCGCTATCCTTGATTTTGGCTCCCAGTACAGCCATCTCATTGCCCGCCGTGTTCGCGAGCTTCACGTGTTTTGTGAACTTTACTCGTGTCTGGTGAGCGCCGACGAGCTGCGACAGCACCAACTTAAAGGCATCATTCTATCTGGCGGTCCACAGTCAGTCTTTGATGAAGTGGCACCGCACGTGCAACCAGACGTATGGAAACTCATTGAGGAGCAGCAGTTGCCAGTGCTGGGTATTTGCTACGGCCTACAGGAATTGGCCTTTACCAACAATGGTATTGTGGCTCCTTCCCAACATCGCGAGTACGGTAAAGCAATTGTTACTCGAAAAAGTGGTGTAGATTGCGGTGGCCTTTTCGACGGTCTTCCAGACGAATTTCAGATGTGGATGAGCCACGGCGATAAGCTGCACAAAAATCCGGATGGATTCGTAGACATTGCAACGAGCGAAAATTCCGAACATGCCGCCATCGTCAACGTGGCTCGCAAGTTTTATGGCATTCAATTTCACCCCGAGGTCACCCATAGTCCACTCGGCAAGAATATTTTGCGCAACTTTGTAGTTAAAATCTGTAATTCTCCAACGGATTGGGACATGCGCAGCATTGCTGACGCCTTTATTGAGGAGGTGCGCGAAACTGTCGGACCTGAGGGACACGTCATTGGAGCTGTCAGTGGCGGGGTTGATTCATCCGTTGCTGCTGTTCTGCTAAAGCGCGCTTTGGGTGACCGTTTTCACGCAGTTCTTATCGACAACGGTCTTCTACGTAAGGATGAGGCCTTAGAAGTTGTCGAGCGCTTACAGACCAAGTTGGGTATCAATCTCAAATGCATTGATGCATCAGACCGCTTTTTGGAAGCTTTAAAGGGTATCACTGAACCCGAAACCAAACGCAAAAAAATTGGCAATCTTTTTATTGATATATTCCAGGAAGAGGCTAAGCGTATTGGCCACCCTGTTGATTTCCTCTTACAGGGGACACTCTATCCAGATGTGATCGAGAGTATTTCTTACAAGGGACCCTCAGCTACAATTAAGACTCATCATAATGTTGGTGGCCTTCCAGAAAAGATGCATTTGAAGCTAATTGAGCCGCTTCGGGAGTTATTCAAAGATGAAGTTCGAGAGCTTGGAATGGCTCTCGGCATTGATGAGCCCAGTGTATGGCGCCACCCGTTCCCAGGTCCTGGTCTTGCCATTCGTGTGCTTGGTGAGATTACACCAGAGGCTCTGGAGACTTTGCGCCACGCCGACTCGATTTTTATTGAAGAGTTGCGCAATAGCGGACACTACAAAGCCACTGGTCAAGCTTTTTGCGTGCTATTGCCGGTCAAATCCGTTGGTGTGATGGGTGACGGCCGCACCTACGAAAAAGTTGTTGCTATTCGTGCTGTCAGCACTTCGGATTACATGACTGCCGACTGGTATCACATGCCGTACGAGGTACTTGGCCGCATGTCGAACCGTATCATAAACGAAGTGCGGGGTGTAAACCGCGTTGTTTATGATATTTCCTCCAAGCCGCCTGCTACCATTGAATGGGAGTAAGTGACGAGGCAGACTCTGCTAGTCACCACAATAGATTTGATCACATTTTTACCATAATGTCTAGCAAATAGAACACAAATACGCTTATGTATATTATATTCGATGAAATAACAGCAGACGTGCTACTTCCTTTTGATAATTTGTAGCACTAGCACATATATGCATGTAATACACAACCTACTCTAACGCGTTTTCTATACCCCCAACATAATCAGCGAAAAGCACCAGACTTCATCTACCGCCAAACAGTATAGGTGATCTTCGCAAAGCAGCCTGGGAATTCAGTAACAGCGGCATGTGATCGCCGCCCCCTGTGCATTATGCCACCAGTAGAGCGGCGTATGATGGCAAGAATGAACAGCCTTTGGCGGAGGATTCCTAAATTGGTTTGCTCGGTGGCTATTTGTTCCCGCTGTGAAGGCACTGCCTAAGCGAACAACCTTAAATCGATGAAGATTGCCAAATTTACTCTAACAAACACACTATACACACACACAAAATATTCGTGGTTCAAAATAAAGTTGCGTCGACCCGAGAAAGGATACCTCTGTTGTTGGACAGATCAAAGCACGACAAATTGAGTCATTTTTTTGAATGGAGTTCTACTAAATCACAATCGTAACAATTGATCAAGCAGAGAATCTAATCGAATATCAGTGCATTGTATTCATGGTGACAGCGGCGATTTTCGTTAGTGTGCTCACTTACGAAAAACATCCTGGATAGACCATCTTTCGAATCAAATTTTATCACTTTATGGAAAGAAGCTGTTCAAAGGTACATGTCGAACGAAAAATCGGCAAAGTGCCCGAGCCATGTCGAAGATTGATCCAAAAGGATTGGACGGAGAAAATGCCCATTTTGGACACGGTTATTGATGACGACGGATTAAGGACTATTAAAGCAGATCACGTGAGTAAGTTTATCCGGCCAGGAAAGCTCTGTGAACAGAGCTGACGATGTATCGAAAAACGAAAGGGGCTTATCCAGACACTGATCACCAAAGACGTCGAACATTGCTAGAAAACCCCACTAACAGTTAACAGTTAATTTAGACAAACTATTCTGACGTGACAATACATGGGAAATAATATTTTTCGAGAGAAAGGAGACAGACACAGGGTGATTCTGAAGTTTCAATCTGGTATAAGTTTCTTCATTAAGATATTGCTCGGAGAACAAGAACAACCAACCCATACAACTCGCAGATAGAGATCGAATTTTATGCTGAAAAAATGTTCACATAGCGCCTGATAACAATCCATCGGCGCAATCAGGTCAAACTGCTTGCCCAATAATGTGCACAGCATTTAGCACTTTCTGCTGTTGTTTCAAGGCGGTTTCACTTGCGTTGTTTCAACTGCGTGTTCTATCCTTTCGTATCAGCTCAACAATATTCACATACCTCTTATTTTTTTTGTCGCAGACGCTGACGCTGCGTTTTCGGTAAGATTTGGTATAATTGGCTCGGCGTGGTCTATTTCTGATCCCAGTAAAACGTATTTCTTCTTACTTTTGAGCCCCAACGTTTTCGAAAGATATCGTTTGATAATCTCTGAATTTGGTCAAGCATGCATTAGAAAGATGTATGCTGTGATTGTCATCTATAAATGTCAAAGTGTGCCATAAATAAGAAATCTACTGGGATGTGAGGTTGGTATTGACAATTTCCGTGTGCGGATCAATCAACAAACCACTCCAATTTGTTCTTCCGGTCGTGGTTTGAGCTTGGCGATCTCCATGCGATCACGACGAATTGTAATGAAGCAAGCAGATCGACGAAAGAACAGCTTAATTGACATTTGGTCGATTGCAAAATTAAATCGCGATGGTTTCTGTATAACAATATTGTTGGGTTGGATTCTTCAAATTGTCCTTAAATAAATTTCAGGGCATTCATGTTGGTGATTGGTTCAGATGATACATCTTCTTCGTTGTCTTCTGGGTGAAAAAACATGTTAGATATCATGGTTTCAATTATTGGGTCTCGTATAAGGGATTTGAGATGCTCTGCATTTCGATCGATGAAGGCATGGATGGGGCCCTATTTATCATTGTCAAATAATTGCTTTTCCTCCGATGCCGATAAAATTCAGGCCCCAGTGATGCGCGTGGAGTGGCACATAACCCACTGAGCACTGCTCACGTTACAATATACCAAATTGCATGGTCGGACGAGGTCTGAGGCATCGAGGGTGAGGCCGTAGTGATGCACGTGGAGTGGCACAAAATTCACTGAGCAATGCTCACCTTTTAAAGCAGTTGCTGCATACCAAGAGTGGCATGGCCGGACGAGGTCCGAGGCATCTAGGGCAAGGCCCTTTATATGCGCGTGGAGTATCCAACAGCTCTTCATCGAATGTTGTTAATAACACCAGAGCTCCGGGGGAGCAGGGAGTGTGGTCACTGGACGACGTCGAGTGCGTGTTCCCACTGGTCTCGATGAGACGTGAAACCGCTGTAGAAAGGAGACGGCGAAGTCGCATGATATCTGCAAGATGTAAGGTGTCGACCTTGACCCAGGGTGCGTGGTGCGTCTACCGTAGACGATAGCGCACAGCTATATACCTTCATCAACGATATGACGGGAGAGGAAGACGGCGACGTCACCCTCGAGGCTATTCCCGCGATGTATGCTCTTCTTAAGCTGGACGAGATGTAATTCGATGGTGTCTTGTAGGCGGCCGACTTAGCCAAAGCGGTCATCATACGGAAGAGGAGACCACTTCGTCGTCGCTTCTAGATGAAGCTGTCTTGGCGGACACCAAGAGGGTGCTGAACGCAGGTTCAGGAGATTATCCTGAATTCATAGTCTGTGACCTGCCCTAGGAGCAGTGTGATGTCATTGACGTCTTTTTCCATGCCGAGGGATCGGCGTCTGTGCCGGAATGATGCTAGTGTCTAACTTATTGTAAGCGTGAACGATACGCCACTTGCCGTTTGATTTTCTTACACAAAACGTGGTTCTCGAATGGGGAAACTTGCTCTCACGAACCATTCTGCCTAGTGCTTTTGAAGGATTTCGCTGACAGCGGTGAGTACTTCTTTTGTGGCACTGATGGTAAAGTTCTAGACAAAAAGGACTTGTCATACTTCGTTTTGTGTTACTCTTGGAAAGGCCCGCTTCGTGGATGCTTCCATAGCGAGGTGGTTTACCGACGAGATGATGGGCCAGCTTGCCCATACTCGTCGATGTAAACACATTTTTCAACTTCTTCGCTGACAGTAATACATGTGGGTTCTCGATTGCTGCTGGTTACACTACACACTTTGGAGTGCCTCTCATGGATGCCCGCAATTTGAATGTGCTACTATACCAATGCCTCGCTGCTGTCCCTTTTTACGATGTCTTTCGTTATTTTTTGTATACTTATCGAGAAGTACATAATCGCAGCCAACGAGCGAACCAAAGCTTTGCGTGCAACATGAACGAAACATTCCGACCTTGTGATACCTGCAACAATTTATGTTCGCCATTTTAACTTCACACGGCCAAATTAATTGTATCTCTAGGTAGAATAGCGTATGCTTAAATGCGTTACAGTTTCTTGTCTTTTTGGTATAAAGGTTCCTTTGAGTGCTAGGCCTGCACTCTTATATGGAGCTCATTATAGTTGATAAATTGATTCAAGGGCTTAAAAATGATTATGTAAGCCAAGAACGAAGTCTTAAAGTTTGCTCGCCATAAAACTACATAAGTGATAGGAGCTGGTGTTTTTTTTAGAGAGGGAAATTTGGCTGTGAGCTTTCTCGTATACAACTATATGCCTCTTAAACGCTATTGAAGCGGTGTAACTGTTTGCCTAAGGTGCTTTTCTTTAATTTCAGATTTTGGCTGTCGTATAATATGCTCGGAAAAAGAAGATTAGCAACAGATGAAGTTCTTAATCAGCACATCGTCTCCGTACTTACAGGACTCTAAAGACCGTGTTTTTATAGTTTTTCTTAAAACTAATATGCTAAGCTAGTTACAATTAATCAAATTTTGCCGGTTGCGGCCACTTACTATGTATTTTACAGGTTGCGTATAAATCTTAGTATAAAAAATAGTCTTTTGGTTTTGATAACTATGGCGCGTGCATTTTCATTTCAGCCGTTTGTTAGTCACAATGGATTTAATCGTGCATGGATATCGATCGATGCCTCGTAAGATATGGTTTTCGCCATGTTTACCTGTATTTAAAGCTGATTATGGCACACCAGGGATCTGAAATATGGCACAATATGGCATCTCTTATCATATATAAGATTTTTGAAAGAACATCGTATTGTTTGACTCGGAAAATGGCTTCATGGGACATGGTAACCAGTGCTGTACTCAACCGAGGTAGTATCAGCCAACCTGCCGTCATTATCTTGATCTGTCTCCCACATTGCCACAAGCATCGTCGCATGATAAAGATTCAGGGTTGCTGTCTGAATCCAAGAATCTCTTGTCTGATGCAGATCGTGCAAGCTTCTGTGATTGTTGCTGAGCACATGAAGTATCCAGAACGTCTCAAATGTTTTTTTCTGTTCGCGTCCTCTCTACTTCTATATGCAGCACAGGAGGAAATCAATACTAATTTTTCGTTATCACTTGAACTACAGCAATATCACTCAATAGCTTTATTGCAAATTTGGTAATATTGGTCGGAACGTAATTTTGATCAAATTATGACACCATTTGGAATAGATTACGGAACCGAAGATTCTTATAAGAAAATGAATAGTACTTATTCAATTTTTTTAATTAAAAGCAGTACGTGAACACCGCAAGGCGAATGGCAACCGTTTTTGAAAAACAGGCCAACTGCTTTGCTATATTCTCGTCAACCAAGAATTGAAGCGTGCATTGTTGACCCAGGGTAAAAAGATGCATATTTTATCCATTCTTCTCATACCTCAGGAGTCGAATTGACTACTAAGTGCAAGGATGTCTTTAATTCTTGCCTCGATGAATCGTTCTACTGATTAAGCCCGCAACAAAAAACGTACAAATGATTGGAGTCAGAATCCTCTCAAACAATACTACTAAAAAGTGGAACATTGAAAAAGAGTATTACATTAGCAGCTGAGATATCAAGTCAAATGCGTTTAAGCGCTTCCAGACGTGCTACAGCGTTCCTGATTGATACAAAGGCATTACTTAGATGCGGCGGCAATAAATATCGCAAATGTAACTAGCGTAAAAAACTATGTCGGCTTGTATAATAAAGCCTTCACTGTTTCATTGCGTAAAAGTAGCAGCCACGTTCCGATAGACGTTACCTTCTGTAGTACTATTAATCTGATATCGCGCCTTGGATCAAGTTTTACTTTACCACGCTATTGGTCACGGTACTCCACAACCTTTGAGCGGATGCTAAAAGTGATGATCAATAATGCAACATGCACGTTTTCTAAAGTACATTGCGCACCCTGACCTGCACATTATTTGTTTTGGTTGTGAGTTCTATTACGAATTGATATGACCAAAGCAGCCGACGTGCTAGCGGTTTCTAAGCTCAAAGACCGTGTATGGCAATGTGCTCGAATGCGTAGCACCTGTGCAAAAACGGCATTCCCACATGTTAACAGGAATGGGCGGTTTGTGCCAGATTGGTGGCGGCATTATATTTATTTTACGCAGTAGAAGTTTGCCGCTAAGGAATAGCGCTTCAGAAGGTACGCTACGCTGGCGATTGACCGTTTATCTCGAATTTCGCTTTGTTATTTGTACAAAAGAAAGTTGATATGGCGTCACGCTGTTCACTACGGAAGCAATTGATGTCTGATGTCAAATTTGGTTCCAGGAACCAAATTTATTCCATAAAGCACCCACAGTTGGACTCATGTCGCCGTGTTCTCATATACCTTCGAGACGGTCTGAAAATCTAATTTTTGAAGTTATAGCCGCTCCACGCTTTCTCACAGAGCTCTACGAGTAGCCTCAATCACGGACATCATAATGAGCCGAGCTTCTCATTCAGTAGGAGCAGATCAACTTGATTTCCCAGCCTTTGTACAGCGTCTTGTCATCCGCAGGTGCTGTGTCTGTGTCTCTACTGCTGTTTATCATTTATCATGGGGATCAAATAGATCGAGCTGTTAAGCAGAGCTGAACGACCGTTTCGTCGCAAGAAAATACTGAGTCTTAGCAAACTCAAGGTGGCCTATTTGGCTCGACTTGTCTTCGTGGGTATCGAGGTCGATAAGTTCCAGCCCTAAGCGAAATGACAAATTTTAAGACGGGTGGGTTTAAAGCTCCTGTAACTCAGTCGATAAGATGAGCGTATCGGTCTATATAAAGCTCTCAAAAGCATTGCTTTTTGAGACTTCATGCATCTGCGCAACCCATTACAGTTAGAGACCCAAAGGAATATGCGGAGGCATCGCATACCAAGTACGGTGACATCCCCCAATAAGAACACACGTTACGGTATCCTAGACGGTTAAGACTTTTATTAGCATAGGATGCTATTTTGTGCTAGACCAGGATACTAGATATGGCCTCATTATATTTATGATCTGACTGAACGACCCAATCTATGAATTAGTGGTGGGCTGATCATGCGTCATCAATTCGTTTGTCACTCATACATAGAAATGGTTGTCAAGAGCTAGTCAGCAAATCTCAATGATCATTGATTTCTCCATATTCTGTTGGAGAATTACCAAGTCGTGGGTTCAAACCCCGTCATATGCATATGTTCTTTTCGATGCATTTGTCACATTCCATGAGTTGAAGTACGATCCTTAGTGCATAATAAGACGCCAGTGTGGTGGTAGTGCCTTAATGTTCTACTAAGCAAATATTTAGAGCGACAAGAAATGAGGGGCGAATCATTCATACTCATAAAATGCTCGATACAGCCACAATTCCGACGCAAACACAAGACTCGGAACGTACAAGCTGCCAAATAGGATGAGAAGCTTTATCCTGTTTGATGCTCGTGACCTAAGGATAATTGTTATTTTTAAGATACAATATCATTCCTCTCTTTGCGCTTAGTATCTCTAGCAGGTTGCTCTACGAGCACTTATCAATACACCAGGAGATGGCGTATGCATCAGCGATCCCAACGGTCCGGTGACACCGCTATTTATGCTTGACTTTTCATGCGCACTTAAATTTTACATTTAATCGCCTGGAGACACGTAGAAACAAAGAAGGCGATGTGGAATCCTATGTCCTAACCTGAAACGGAGCTATACGTATCCTGGTATGAAGGGGTGGGTCACAAATATGGTGTGACCATGCAAGGGTGCGAGTTACACAAGACGGTATAATCACACAATCGTGTGGCTACACCGTAACAAGAAGCCACTACGTGTCTAGACTGCCAGTAGTTATGAATAATAATTAGGGTTGACTATTTAACAAGAAAATCCTACAGATTTAGATGTAGGTGGCTTTGTCGCAAATAAAACAAAATAAATACAGTTTGGATTTTAAACGGAAAACTTTATATACCTTGGGTTAAGGTTGTGATTACTCTGGGAGTGCGATCCGCTATACTCGTACTGGTTCTGTTGATGACCTTAACTATAATTTCTTTAAGCGAAGGAGCCACGGCAGTCCCACTGCACTTGGTAGCACTTGCAGTTTATCTACACCTAAGATATTATGACTGATCCTCTGCGAGGAGGGAGTAGTTCTCTTGTTTGCCCCAAAACATGCAGGACCGGCTTCAGATGCTGGTGTTTCTGCTTGGCTTTGAGGGCGTACAACTTCTCGCATCACAAGGAATTGTAGCGATCATTGCCCGCCTAAAGGCGTTTTCGAGCTATGAAAATGCTTGGCTACGGCGCCTACAGTAGAAAATGCCAGTGTTGACTACATCCATGACGCCATTGTCGACGACGGATGACTCCTCCCGTCCCAGGCCGCTCAAGGTGAGCGTTAAGACCTTTGTGGCAAAGATAGAGAGAATTTCTTGTCTGGGTGAGAGAGGCCGAGATGGCTATGGCGTCTGCCATGCTCCAGATAGAGCGACAGCGCCTGGCGCTATCTATCACCAAGCTCGGTGGTCGAGCGCGAGAATGGGAATCGATGTGCGGCACTTCGGTCGAAGCGGCGCTTGTTTCCTGGACGGAGCTGAGCAGCCGTTTTTGCGAGTGTTTTCGCCGCCTAATCAGGCAAATCGCGTGTGATTGCGTTTCCTCGCATCCCGACGGTGCAAGAAGAAGTTAGTGGACTTTGTCCAAGAGTTGAGAACTCTCGTTGCCGGGATGGCAGCCGATCCTCTGCCCGAGGTGGTCGCAGTGACCGTCATTATGGATGGCCTCCGCACCGGCGTGGCCAAAATGAAAGTCTTCCGTGAGTATCCGTTTTCTTTAAAGAAGCAATGAACGTGGTATTAAATGCCGAATTCGACTTTATTTTGGCACGACATATTTGAAATGCACACCCTAGATCTCGTCGAACGGGCCTGAGCCGATGGATCTCAGCTTTTCTGAGAGAAGAAGGAGAGGTCCAAGCAGCCGAGCAGCGTTTGAGCACCCGACAGTATTTTGCCTGTATAAACACCCATCACCTTCATTTCCGCAAGGCGCATCAAGGTTTAACGAACCGACGTCCCACTTCTTACCAGGCTTCTGTTTTGTCGCGAAGAGCAGACAAGATTTCTGTTAAATCTGAAATAGGTAGAGGGCAACAGGGCCCAGCCCCGAAGAGCTCCGTGCTCTTGAGCACGAAACGTGTATGCAAGCCGGGCTTGCTAATCGTGAAAGCGACCGTGAAGAGCTTTGAGAAGCCAAGGAAGATCCTGATCAACTCTGGGACATCGGGCAAATACGCTCGACGACTCACAACAGAAAGTAGTCAGCTGTATGCTGATGCGCTGAAAGCGCGGATGAGTGGCATCGTCACTGTTTGCTTAGCGTTGGGGACATGTGTCACGGTGCCGAGGGTCCCTGTGGACCTCGGTGTCAAGTTTCTTGAATTTGGTAGCGTTGACGCTGCTTGGTCTGAGACTCTGATTCCAGGTAAGATCTTATCCTTGTTGGACAAGAGTTCCGAAAATGGCTCACGGGCTCAACGTGGAGTGGTACGTAGCTGTTCAAGTAACAAAGCAGTCACAGCATGCCACAAGTGGTATGGTCGGGCGAGGTCCTAGTCATCTTGGACAAGGCCCTTCGCCCGTATGTTATACACTGGACGAAGACTGCGGAGCAAGCAGATCCTCGTCGGATTTTTGTTAATAATATACAAATGGCGGTGGAGCAGGAAATGGGGACACTGGACGACGCTAATAGCGTGTTCCCACTGGATTTGCTGAGACGTAAAACTTCCTTGGAGAGGTGAAGGCGACG